AACATAAAAAGCAGGAGCTAAAAAAGCTAAGTTAAAAAAAAAAAAAAAAAAAAAAAAAAAAAAAAAAAAAAAAAAGAGTCTAATGAACATTAAACAAGTGAAGGAAAAAATAATGAATGAAAAGCCGAACAAATGAGTGAGCAAGCACAAGAACAAACGAACGAATGAATAATGGGAGAATGAATTAATGAATTAATAAATTGATTGATTGATTGATTGATAAAAATTATTTCACCATTCTTAGTGCTCACAACGGTAACACCTTTCTTTACCTGTGCCTTGATAGTCTTAGTAGAGTAAGGTCCTTCACAACTAGAGTACATGTCAATGGCAGTCTGTAGATAATTCTTTGCCTTGTCTTCGTCTTCTTCAAGTAACGAGTATGCCGACGATACAGCAACCGCTGARTCTGCTAGCTCAACACAGTCTTCTTTGTAGCTGTTGTTGGTGTAAAAAAGAAAAACAGAGAAACCCTAGACGGTTTTTAGCAGACCGTTCCCTTTTTGCGAGAGTTAAATTTATATTTTGTCTAATTTTTAGGTGTGTGGGATAGGGAGGGTAGGGAGGGGGAAAACTGTAGCACCCCACTTTGTTCCACTGTCCCTGCTCATGTATATATTTTAAAAGCCTTAAAAACCAGGGCTCGGTTGTACGAAGGGTGGATAGCGCTATCAAACGGATAAATCTTATCCAGTGGATAAATTTATTGGATAACAGCATCGACTGGATAAGGATCGATTTATCCATTGGATAGCGCTATCTACCCTTCGTATGTACAACCGGGCCCAGCATACTAAGCTTGTCCTTACGCTTCCTTGGCGATCCTATGAGCATGTAGGTACATCTCTAGTGCTCTTTTGTTACTTGCTTCTCSAGATCCTTGTTTTTGCTCGGCATGGCCAAGATTCTGATAGATAGGTATCAGTCGTGTGCTTCTATCACCGTACTCTTGCTGCGCTGACTCAAGGGCCTGGTGAAATGAAAAAAAAAAAATGAAAGTTGGAAAATTACAATTTTTCTGCTTAATAACCTTAGGTTAAATTTTATTCAATAAATATATCACAGATCAGATTTTTTAAATGTTTTTTTCGATCAGGTTTTTTTGCCTTTCATATATTGTTTAATATTGTAAGTAATATTGATTTAAGATTACAGTATAGTTTTAAATCCTTATTTTCATCTTTTCACTGATATCCAAGTTGAATATTAATTTTAGCAATTATTCGCCGAAGGCGAAGTGAGTATTGGGGAATATTTACCGAGACGCGAGTCTTCGAGTATTTTTATATACAATAATTCAATAAAAACAAACAAACAGAAACGTTTAGCTTGCGTGACAAATTCACGCAAAACTTTTAGCAAAACTTTTAGGCCATACTTCGTTGCCTTTTCAGTATTGATAGGAATGGCATTTACTTTCATTAGCAAAACGATTGCCAGCAGTTGCCATTTTGTTACCGACTCAGGCCCCGTCCACATGTATCCGGAAATTTTTGTATCCGCAAATTATTTTTTGCGGATACGAAAATGTTTGCGTCCACACGCAGCGTATTCGAATCGTTTTCACCGTCCACACGTATCCGTTTTCGTAAAATTTGCGGATACGGATACAAAAATTTGCGGACACGTGTGGACGGGGCCTCAATATTCTGATTCAGAGGTGAATATTGCAGTTGTACAATAAATTAACCAATGAGCGCGCGCGTTCTTAAGAAGTACACAAGTTGGTATATGCTAATGATAAATATTCACTTGAGAATCAGAGTGAATATGGTGAATATTTACCTCAAGTACATCTTAGTAAATATTCACCGGCATAGATGGGTTGAAAGCATTCCCAAGAAAGTCGATTTAGGTAGTGTGGTGCTGTTAACAATGAATGCTAATGAGAAATCTGAAAATGGCACCAACATGGCCGCGATGACGTAACGTGCAATCGAAGAACTCAATGTTTGTCATATAATAGGAAGAAGAAAAAAACGAAAAAAATACATTATATGAAATTCACATTTGAATTCTCATTATTTTTACAGTCTCTGGGTTTTTAACCCTCATCCAAGAACACGAATTTAAGGCCCCGTCCACACGTATCCGGAAATATTTTTTCAATACCCCGCAAATTTTTTTTTGCGGATACGAAAATGTTCGCGTCCACGTGCAGCGTATTCGAATCGTTTTCGAATCGTTTTCACTGTCCACACGTATCCGGAAATTTCTTGATCCGCCCTGATGCACGCTAGTGCCTAGTCCCTTTGACGGATAGTATTTCTTATTGAGCATGCGCAAAATCGTGTTTACGTCAGCGTATTCGAAAATTTGCGGATACGACCGTCCACACGTATCCGTATTCGGAGCGTATTAGAAAAGTTCCACTCTGGAGACCGTTTTCGAAAATTTCCGGATACGTGTGGACGGGGCCTAAAATACCTTTTCCAGACAATCCAATGCATAGCCGGCTTTCCCAAGTTTAATGGCAGCTTTGCCCAAAGATGTCAAAATTTTGATGCTCCTTTCAAGGTGCTGAAACCCTCTTGGAAGATCTTGCCTTTCATTGGACACTAATTCTGCTTTTTTTAGATTCTGCTCTGCCTTTTGGTACCTTAAAGCAATACATAAATAAAATATCAATAATAATAATTAGGAAGACAACTGTCAATACTACAATAGGTAGCAAGAAAATAATTAGTGTCCCTGATTTGACACATAAATAGAATCTGTATCCGTCTTTTCCAATTSTCTCGTTTATGCTATGGCTATTACAGCTGGCTGGTACCATTTTCTGTATTCTTATAGTTTAGCATAATTTTGCAATTTTGCAAATTTGGTACAAGTATTAAATAAAGATTGATTGGTATATCTATGTTATTTACCGTCCTATAGTCGGTCCGGAAA